CTTTTAATAAAATTTCATTTTGAAATCATTAAAAAATATAATTTATACAATCTTGTTATAAAAGAAATAAATTTGTAATTCAAAATGATGAAAATCATTGTCAATTTAATTTTTGGATTTTAAAACTAAAGGAGATAACTCTGGGATATGAACACGATTACTCAGAGATTGTTGCAAACGTTTTTCGAACATTCTGATGTTTATCATTCCAAACATTTGAATTGATATATTCATAGATGAGAGGAGAATTCTAAATATACATGTAAAATTCGTCAAAGTGTTCAAAATATAGATTTTATAAGGCTGAATTTGGACACGAGAAGCATTTTTGTATTACATGTAACTGACGATCTATTGATGTAGTACTTATTCATACACTCCTAATTGAAACTGGTAGATTTTTTTTAGTATAGAATGAATTGAGTGAAAGAATGTATACTCTGCGGAATTTAGGACAACTGGGTTATGAGCTCCATTACATGTATTTTCTCAACCCTGATTTCTTTAAACAATTGCAAGTGCTCAACCTTCCAATAAATGTGGGAATAAGGTTGAAAGATATGAGACTGTGTTATCTGGATGTGCAATAATAAAATATGACTACTTAATGGGATGTAATGTGTAAAATTCGGATTAATTGGTTACAAAATATCATAAATATCCAACTATTTTTGACTTCGGTAGGTTGACGATATAACCAAAATTCAAAGTATAACTTCGTAAATATATTGCATGATGGTCATGCTTGTTGCATTTTACATTTCACTCTTGAAAATGTTGCTCTTTCAGTAATTTTTACTCGGTAAAGAATGGTATAAAGTTACTCGATATCCATTCATGCATTACATGTACATAATATAATTTTAAAAATGTTCTGTTATTCATAGTTACATATTTACTTATTTTTATTATGTTCTCCGATTCAAGTTTTCTTGACCTTTTCTATTCAAGATGAATTCTGAATTTACAGGTAAAGTACTAGTATTTTAAGAAATGTCCCCCTTGGGCCACCTTACGTAAACAATACTCCCACGCAGATTAAATTCTATGGCAGAATGCATGCGGAATTAGGCTCGGAATTCTTCGAATACTGACACAAAGGTATGCATATGCCCTATTCTTTATTACATGTACTATTTTGGTGGTTAACTGTCCTGTATTTTTACCCTGTTTAAAATATGTACAATTTAACTTTTTTTGCGCCGCTGATAAAGTGCATGTTTATTTAAGTTTGATGGTTAATCAAAAACATTCCGGGCCAGTATACTAGATGGTATCCCTCCTGCTGGGGTGGGGATAAGGGCTTCATAGATTCCGGGTTGGTGTCTTTCTGAAACATTATAAACCGCTACCCTTTTCTTATGAAAGCTTAAATTAAGATGTATGGCATTTGCCATATATGTATATACATATGTATACCCTTTGGAAACTGAAAGCAGATAGACTCATTATAAACTGACCGGGCGTCTTCTTTCAAAAATGAATTTCATATACATGTATATCAAATATTTTTTTTCCAATTCTACAATAAAGATTTACTTTTAAAATAAATTAATGTTATCCATCTATTTTAGTAACACATACATTATCCAAATTTTAATACATGTACTCTCTTGATCTCCATCGTCGCTGCCACCTGTGTTCGAATCTTATTTCGTTTGACGAATACCTTTCATTGGTGTCTATAGCTATCTGTACCATTTTCCTTGGAACTGTTCGTAGACGTGTGCATTGTCGGATCGAGGAGTATGTGCTGGACTTGTTCCAACAATAAGCCAATTGATTACAGACACATGCAATACTACAGCACCTGCGTGAACGTGTATCTCGCTATAAAAAATAAACTAGATTCGTGCAGATATTTGTTTGCACTACCCATGGTCACTCTATCGGAGGTTGAAATGAAATATAAACCTATACACTATGACAAAATAATTATTGCAAAAAATTGACCCCTTCCTTTGTGATGAGAATAATCAACATTTACAATGGTCGTTGGGAGATGCCGGTTGTTGAACTCCAATTAAGAGAGTGTTTGTATTGCTATTCGCTGGTACCAGAAACATTCTTTTCATAGAACTTGAAATAAATCAAACTAATTTCACACTTTTACATGTCTCATTATATTCATTAAAAGACACCTTTGAAATTATAATTAAAAAGGCATCTTTGAAATGATATACAATAATAAAGCAGTACTTTATGAACCAATACTCTAAAACTGTTTACATGTACACTGTATAATGTACACGATTTGCTTTTGCAGTTCCTTTCCATCTTCGAGAGCCAAGGGTTTTCGGTCCACTCCGCTCCTCATAAACCCTTGGCCGTGTTTTCATAATGAAATCAGCCAAGGGTTTATGGGGAGCGGAGTGGACCGAAAACCCTTGGCTATAGCGAAGATGTTGCTTTCAAGCAGAGCTGCAAAAGAAGAGCGTGTAAACTAGATTTATACATATGCACGACATGCCTGCAAGCACATGCTCTATATCAGTCTGGAAAGCAGACGTAATTAACTGACCAAGCTATATATACAATACGAAATTATCTGTCACAATGTGATAGCAGGTATGGTGCATTCCGAGCTATATTAGAATCTGCAGATTTTATTATTTTATTTATGGAATTCGAAAAATCATGGACTTTTCCCGAAAAGGGAGTGGTTGGAGAGGGTTTTAAAGGCTACCCAGTACTAAGTGGAATTGTCTCCTTCCCCCCCCCTTCCGGCGACAGAATCGGCTATTTCATTATGATTTTATTTTTGTAAATCTATGCTCTATTATTCATACATGTATCCACAGAATCCATTAACCATGGCAGGGATATCAAAGAGAGTCAACCAGTGGCAGAAATTCTTTGACGAACACGAAGAAAAACAGAAAATAAACCCCTTCTCTGAATGGGAGGGGGCCTCACATCGTCAGAAACTGGACAAAAATGACCCTAATTACGGGCGTCCCGTGGAGGGATCTATGACAGAATATAGGGGTCAAAAGGCCGGAGAACTCATCAGCGGAGAAATCGTGGAACTGTGTCACGTGATCTCTGATCTTGGACAAAAGAACGCGGATGGAACATTCAGTATATCTTTTGGAAATCTATTCGAAGCATACACAACCATATCAAACAAACTGGTGGGGATGTTAATGCGTGCACGGAAACAAAAATTATTAACTTTTCCTGGAGAAATGTTATTTCAGAGACGAGATGATGACGTTACAGTTACTTTATTTAAAATTCCGTATACCACGTGATTAATATTTAAAAATAATTTATTTTAAGTGTTTAATAAATAAAAATTTTTTTTGACATTTTGAAGTGTTGTTAATTTAATTTTTTTCACATTCAAAAGTTATCCTACTTTATATTCATGCAGTATAACATTCCTCTGTCTCCTGAAAGTGGAACTGATTCAGTATACAAGAACATGCTTCGAGTACCATCCAGTTTAATCCGAGGCTGGTTACTAACAAATAATTGAATGAAACAGGGATTTCAACAATCTCATCAAGTCAGTACATCTCAATTTCTACATGATGACCTTGTTTACAAATACAACGTTGTATTATATTACTTTGGTGACAGTTGTTTGGGTCATTTATTATATTAATATTGATTATGAAATACACTGTACTCTGTTTACCTGATTAAAACATAGGGCTCACACAGATGTGATTGTTTGAAAGGGGCTGATTTCTTCAATAAAGCACCTGATCAGCCTCTGGTAAAGTTCACAGGAATCTGTGTCTTTGACCTAATCACAGATTGTGTACAGATTTATGATCACTGTGCTAAATGGAATATTTGGTTTATTCACTTTTAAGTATTAAATTGGGTTTCAAATATCATAAAAAAAGTTATTTTTCATAACCAGACATTAAAAAGACCTTGAAATAAAAGGAAAGGAGAATAAAAAAATCCTATTAAGTATTTTGAAATCTTTTATTGCATATTGCATTAAAACAAACAAGTGCTACAAAAAATATCTTTTCCATTGGAAATACGATATACACTTCAGTGCTAAAAAAAGTCAACAATTGAAAGCTGAAAGAAAATATTGCTCAATGACGGTACATCATTACACAATATTATACTGTAAAGGTATTTCACATGAATGAAAGATTGTAGTGCACCCCATATTTTCACTTTAATCAAATAATACATGTATACATCTAATGTTTTCAATTATCTTTCACACATTCAAAAATGCAATTATGGAAACACAGCTTAAGTAACTGAAGCTTTGTTCCACACAAGCCTTCACTTTTAAAATACTATATAACAATCATACTTAAAGAACTTCACTTATTTTTCATTGCAATATCCTGCTGATGTTGAATCGTTTCGTAAAACTTTCTTTTAACTTCCTGTTGTTTTTTGTAATCTTCACTGCTCCTCAATCGTTTGTTTTTGGCCGCGGCTTCTTTGTCACCCTCCTCTTTGATCTTCATGAAGGTTTTCATGGAGTTATCATCATCGGGCCGAGGCCCGCGAAAGTTAGCCCATTTATCTAGCTGACCATGCTTCTGGGTTTCCTGAGTAAGTAAAACAAAATATAATGTTCCACTGAATAGCTCATTCATACTTGATGTAGATAACATAGAATAAAAGGTCATTTACAAAGAAGATAAGTTACAAATTCTCACATTTTGCTTGTCATACATATATTCAGTATATTAGTGAGAAAAGCTAGATCCTTGCCTTAAACATTACAGGAAGCGAAGCTGTAAATAAATATGATTGTTTAACAAACACTGACTTACTTTTTGAAGTTGTTGTAATGTTTTTACTTCTCCAATTTCTTCAAAAAATTTCTGGGTTTCTCTATCTGACAGAAGCTAAAAGTTAAGGGAACAAATAATTTCTTATATAATATCAGAAAGAAGTAAATAATGTAATAGGAAAAATGTGAATAAACAAATAAATAGCAGAGTCTGACTTGTATATTTGAAATCTGAGAGAAGAAAGAAAGAAAATTTTGCATTTTGACTCATACACTACCAGAACTCTTAAAAACACCCTAC